ACTCGAGTCTCTCGTTCAGAGACGCTAAACAGTATTTTTGACAGTCTCTCGACAGTCTCTCTCAGAGACACCAGAGAGACTCGATGAGAGACGGAGACTCGAGTCTCGCTTTCAGAGACTCTGAGAGACTGAACATTTTTATATCGGGAATATTTCAGACTAGATATTTGATTAAAATGTATTATTTTTTATGAAGAAGACAATACTGAATAAAAACAATATTGGTCATTTTTGATTATTTATTTATATTGATTAATTAGATATTAATACTGATTATTATTATTGGTTATTTTGCAGGAGCCGAACTATTTGCAAAACGTCGTAAACGATCAGAGAAGTGGGTGGTTGGAGAAACCGAAGGAACAAACACAGCTGTCCCAAAAGACATAATAACTCCACCACCGCGTCCTCTCACAAATCCACTGACACCTATCAACAATTTACCAACACCTACCTACACACCAGAATCTGCACAAAGGGCACAACACAATCAAGAACTTGACAAGATTCAAGTAAGCGATAACGAAATAAAGAGCTTCAGCTAAATGTCATTATTATCAAAAAGAAAAAGAAATTTAGAGAACTTTACTAAATTAAATTCACATTAGGTATATTGTCCGTTCACTTAGAGAAAGTTACAGCGTGAGCGATGCGCATAAACGAAAGCTGTAACTGTAGGCGAGTCACCAGAATATGGCACCGGCCATGGGTTTACCTTCAGATGCTTCCTTTCAAAGCCCAACCGTGAGCTTCTGACGCCGTTAATAATTTCTAACAGTTACTATCATTAAGGCAGTCCGAGTACATCGAATTGGCATCGTGAACTTTTCTCTAAGTGAACGGACTCTATCTGTTTTTATAACCTTGAAATTTTGATACTCTAGACTCGGAAAGCTCATAACACTTGAAAACATAGTTTCTTATGAAATATTATACTGAAAATTCAATTTCTGGATTTTACCCACTACACGCTACCTCAAATTAATGAAGGAAAAATTGTTGCTGTTGTCACACCCTCGCCGGGAATCGAACCCGGGACCTTTGGCTTCACGCACCAATGTTCTGTCGAACGGATCGTTAACCTTGTAGGTCGGTTGGTCGTGGTTGCTGTTGTAGTTTAGTGGTCAGAACATTGGTGCGTAAAGTCAAAGGCCCCGGGTTCGATTCCCGGCGAGGGTGTGACAACAGCAACAATTTTTCCTTCATTAATTTGAGGTAGCGTGTGTTGGGTAAAAAATTCAGAAATTGAAATTTCAGTGTAATATTTCATATTAAACTAACTCACTTCTAAAATGATGTCTAAATTGTATGTATGTTTAAACAGAGTTTCTTTTTACGAAAAAGTCTAAATTTTGCAGAACTCGTAAAATTTATTCAGATTGCATCATCTTTGACTGACATAATGCCTAATGTAAGATACCAAAGCAGATTTCTTTGCAATTATTATAGGAAAGGTTTATTCGTCCAAAAATAAAACTGGTAAAATCGCCCTGGGAGGCAGCTTTAGAAACAGGCTCCGTGGACGCAGCTTTCGTTGAGGAACCCGTCTGGCCTACCAAAGGTAACATCGTGGCTCCGACGGTCGATTCCTACGAGCAAGCTTTGAAAGCTAACGCTCTGGAGACATGGAAAGGTGCACCACGTTCTGAGATGCATTCGAACAGAAGTTACACGCCAAATCCCGCCTACAATAGCACCAGCATCAACAAACTGGTTGACAATTACCAAAAAGGAGTCAGTAACGTTGACGTTTACAAACCCAAATTGCCTCAAGCTTGGAACGCAAAAGGACCCGGACAAACTCAACAATTTAGTAAGTAGTTTTAACTCAAGAATGCCTAGTAGAAAGTGTATTTAGGATGAATAATTTGATATGAGATAATGATACATCCAGAATGGATCTCGCTGTTTGAAAACAATTTTGGACAAAGTTCTATGCTTTCGATTGTCTTTTTACTTGAAGTATCATCAATTGTCTTGTACCTCTTTCTTCCTATCTTTACTTTTCTTTTATAAAAGTATTTAAAAATCAACATTAAGGACTTTTACTACATTTAATGGCTTTAAAAAGACTTACCATTTTATTTTGACGCTTTTGCTTCATCGCTTTCTTCTCATACAGGAAGTGTTAGTCCAGCTTTCGCTGCAGACGCTGCTAAACAGGAAGAAGTAAGACCAACATCTCCTTTCCCAACTATTCCCGACATATCTGCTGATCCCAGCATAATCTTAGATGCCATTTTAGACATAAAATCCAATAAACCTGTTTCCCCTTTACCAACAAGGCCGGTATCTCCGATTCCTGAAACAAAAAACGAAGCTGAAGTTGAAACAACAAAAGCTTCTACTGAAAATACTGACGAATCAGTAAAATTTGTGTCTCCAGTACCTAANAGCTGAAAGAAAACCAGTCAATTTTGACAAGATTTTCCAACCCGTTGAAAATGCTCCACAAATTGAACCGAAAAAACCAGGTATTTTACATAATTTAATTATTATTTACTTACTATAAATGCTGCACTTTGAGATCCATAAATGACTTTTATTTTTATTATATTAAATTTTAAAGTCCCTAATCGTCCAAAAAATCACCGCATTTGTCCGAAAACAAAGTCTAAATACTCTTTTCATTATTAATCAGCTAAGTACTTAGATGAGATAATTACTGAATTACAATCTTAATCAACCTTGTGGGTCATTCTAAACAAAGATACAATGAATTTGAAAACCCGTTCTAAAGAACAAGGAAATTTAGTTAAAATCTGCTTTACGAAAGGGCGTTTTTAAGTTCGCAGAATGTGGGATAAGAAATGGAAATAAAAGTACGAATTTATTCACCTGCTACACTTATACATTTTCTCATCCTTCAATTAACATACGTATACCTTCGAAAAAACATGTTTTGTTTTTGTCTGAAAAATACACCGAAACTGCATCCCACGAAGACTTTTTCTTAAGTTTGGAAATAGCTAATAATCGCTGGGAGTTAGGTCAGGACTGTAGGGTAGGTGAGCTCAAATTTCAAAGCTCACTTTCTACAAGACAGCCATTGCAACACGGCTCTTGTAAATAGTCTTTTTTCTTTGACTGCTTCCTTTAACCATTCTAGGATTGACGCATAGTATTCTCCGGTCATGGAGACAGAGACACCTTTATCTTTATAATCGATCAACAGGATCAGGATCCCTTTTGGGTCCCAAAAGACTATCGCCATGATTTTCCCAGCCGACTGTGACACCTTCAACTTCTTTTGTGCCACTGCATAGAGTCCTGTTTGGACTCAAGTTCATAATGATGAATCCAAGTTTCGTTCCCAGTAACAATTCGAGTCAATACTCCATCTTTCTCTTCACTACAGAGGTCCAAAAACGCACGAGAACACTCCACACGCTGTTGTTTTTGAAGAATTTTAAAAATGGTTGTATCTGATACTCCTACCATTTCTGCGAGCTCTTTCTTCTTGAGTCAGGCATCTTCCAGAATTAATTTTCAAATTTTTGAATAACTTCCGGAGTGGTCACCTCGATCGGCCGGCCTGACCATGGGTCGTCTTTAAGTGAGTCTCTGCCTTGCTTAAAGAAGGTATTCCACTTGTAAACCAGTATGGTTTGAACCGATTTTCTTTGCTTGGTAAGGAACTTTATAACAGCGCGACATTCGATTTTTCCCATATTTCACAATTTGTTCCTGATAGACTTGTTTCGTCAACGATAGTTCAAAAACGACTGACCTAATTACGATAAAACTTGGTATTTATACTAATAATGAGTTGCTTAACTCGCAATGACTCGAGTAAATACCCTCACTAATGACCTACCTACCCATTCCGGGAGCTTGAAAACGCACCCTCGTATGTCATGTTTTATCCAATAAAGTCCTATTATAACCAGGGCCGTAGCGATGAGCTCGGGGCCCAGGTGCGGTATTCCGCAAGGGGCCCTTCTTAAAATTGATGATCAGAAAAATGTCATTAAAAAAAATGTTTTAATTTCACGAATAGATGATTCCCCGTGCAGCACTGACAGATAACCTCTCACGGTTCGATAAAACTATTGATGATTTTGCTGCTAACAAATCGAGAAAAAAAACGTTTTAGAAATAAGAGCAGGCACTTGATGTTTGTGCAATGAATTCTATAGTGATGTTTCGGGTGATATGGATTTATGGTCAGCAATTAGTAATTGTTTATAGTAGCAATGATAATTATATCAACGGATTTAAGGAAACCATGAATGTAGAAGTATTCGCGATTTCGAGATGTATGCATTCCATGTAACTACGTACCTGATCAAATATATGGAGTATTGTGACAAAAATTGATATAGAAAAAAGTAAAAAAACAATTATGATGTTCATTTCGTAGTTTGACTCAGCTCATCTCTAACAGCATAGTTTTTTTTTAGAAGTCATTTTTTGAAAACAGAAAACTGCTAAGGGGCCCCTCGACTGCGGGGGCTCCAGTGCGCCGCACCGCTTGAACCGGCCTCGCTGCGGCCCTGATTATAACTAATATTTGTAAAGAAGTCAAAGTTTGCCAAAATAAGAACCTGTGGGGTAAATTTAATAAAATTTACTGTATAGAGAGGTTCTTGGCTATCAACATTTATCAAGCAAAAGTCAGTACAATATCAAACAGGAAAATATGTGCATGTGTACGTATGTCTTTGTTGAACGCGCTACACCTTCAGCAGCTGAAAAACTAATGTAGGTACTAATCAATATTTCCCCGTTTTTTCAGGTAAAGTTTTTGCCTCGTCAGCATTCTATGCAAAAGGACTTCATCCAACTATGGAAGAGCAAGTCGAACTGGCACGAAGGATTTCGAGTTCTTTGACTGACAGCAGTAACAGGTCCAGCAAAGGACAATCGATGTATGTCAACAGGAAAAAACGTTCAGTTAAATGGGTACACGAAGGTGAAGGTAGGCACATACTCTGAATTCGGTATCCAACAACAAAATTCTAATATTTTAAAAAATAAACTTAAAAGTTGAATGAGGTTTAAGTATCTACAATAGAATTGAAACAGAAGTTGATGATGTTATAATAGATAGAGAAGGTTTTGGAATGAGGAGATATTAGAAAGAGTAGGAGAGCAGAGGGTGCTGTTGAAGTCAATAAGAAATAGGCGATGTAGGTTGGTAGGTAGGTTGGACACCTTCTCAGATATGAAAGGCGGATTAGAGAGATATTGGAAGCAGAAACAGGAGTTAAGAGGAGTAAAAGTGAACCTAGATGAGATTACTATAGGTTACTTTTAGTTGAGGATGTGGGATGTTCTAGTTTTAGGAAATTACGAAGATTAGCTCAGGATAGGAAAGAGTGGAGGTGCGTGTCCAACCAGTCTTAGGACTGACGACCTTATGATGATGATGGGGACTTAGGTTTTTCTAAAAAGAACAGAATCTGGTTTCGGTCAAATGGAAAAACTAAGTTTCTGATTCCAACACTGACTGTTACTTAATGTTTATTATGATTTGCCGAAAATAGCAAAACGCACAAACAATAGATTCCAAGTCGAGTACCGTGCTACCAGTTTAAACAAAGAAAAGTATTTGCAAAAATAGCCTAACCCAAATAAATATTATTTCAACTTTTACATTCGCATGGCCAAGCATGCCAAACAAGCACTATTGTAAACAATTGCAGTTTAAAAATAGGTCCTTTTCAATTACATTAGAACGCGAACAGGATTTATTTCAATTTGTTCTTTCAACGAGTTACTTTTAGTGCTAGATCTTCTAACTTAATTGATTTGACATCTATAAAATAAAATAATTCGAAGTGGTCTGTATTCTGTCGAAACTGCCAGATTTCGATCTTTTTGGGTCTCATCAGCGCGCCGCAGGCAGCTCCGACAGAACACAGACCAACTTTTACCTGCTGTCTTAACAGTGCGTTTTAGTTAATACTACAAATGACGCAGTAAGCGCCATCTGTAGCACGATGCTACATTTTGGCAGTTTCGACAGAATACAGACCACTTCGAATTATTTTATTCGATTATGGTAACGTGCCTACCACGTTGAGGTGAGCTACGCCGGGATTCGTTTCAGCAAGTAGATATACATATATTTAAATGGACCTTGCTGAAGCATACGTGATCCTAAAATGTAGCACTGTACTACAGATGGCGTTTACAGCGCCATTTGTCGTATTTTCTGACATCTGTAAGATTTTATCTCCTGAATCAGATAGGTACCACTAGCTATTAGCAAGTATGTCTAAGAGCGAATCTTAAAAGCATGTTTAAAGATTGGGATTATCAGAGCTTTGCTTATCAATGAGGGATATTAAGCTTTTACATCAAAAAATCTTGTTATATTCAAGGCTTTTAATGTGACTGTGACCGATAATGAAAAGATAATTCATTAAAAATCCTACCTCTCGAGAACCTCAGCAGTTTTAATTAGTTAACAAAAGATTAATTCCAGATTTTAAATCACAGCCACGATAAGGAATAAATAATATATTTATTTTTTATTGAAACCAGGATCTGGTTCCTTAGTGTGGTTCTGATTTAACATCTGTAATAAATTAAGAGAAGAAATAGATATCACAGACAGATTAATATCAAATAACTGGCATAGCTAACAATTTAACCATGAAGTCCTCAAGTTTTCACTACTAATATATTTACATCGATTTAGTGTCTCGTGGAATTTTGCTATTCCAAACGTTTCGCCATTTCTTGCTTACACCATCATCAGTTTTGATTTGCGATTTCTTCATGTGAGAGAATGGCGAAATATTTGGGACAGCAAAATGTCATGGATCATGGCAAAACAGACCGGAAGACGCATCAAATCGAACTGACCAAGGACTTCAGGAATAATCAGCAAGAGTTATTATTGATACCAGATAGATTACATGACCCGAAATATTTGAAAAGCCAGCTTACACGTTGTTTTGAAATGAATTAGTTATCGCTGAAGTGAAACAGATCACTTCGGAAGTGTAATTCATTCTGGGTATCGGCTGTTCGGCAAAAGATGTTTTTGGGCTCTGCGCCAATATAAAACGGGGATGTTATGCAACTAGTTAATGGTCAAAAATAACCCACGATTCGCTTCTCTGTTTATGCTAACATTCAATTCCCCGGCATTAGATTGCCGATCAAATCGTGCTGCTATCTATCCCTAATACATCAACGTCCGTTTGAGTCTTCTAAACCGTTTGTGCGTGGTTATTTTATCACAAATATTACGTACATTTTGAAACGTGAAACTTTTCTTGTGACAACTTTACTTATGTAAGGTTATCATTGTTTGCCTCTGAAATTGAACTTGTGTTGTCCTTTTTATAATGTAGTTGTATCGCCATGTATTATATAATACAACAATTAACTTGAAACATTTACCCCATGCATGACTCCTTTATTTTTTTTATAAATCAATTGTACTTTTATCACAAAGATTCCTAAACATAATATACGAAGGAACTAAGAGGCCTATGGCTTTCACTAAAATATTTTTAAATGTATCTAATGGTGTAAAAGAATTTAAATTACAGTAGTTCGTAGGCTTTCACGGCCGGTGTCTAATTGATGATGAAGAGTTTCTGGGCTTTTCTGTCGTGGTCGAATTCTAATTGCAGATGTTTCGCAATTTGAATCATTCAGCCTCTGATAATACATCATACATCGTGAAGCGTTGAAGACGCTTTCTTTTAAGCATGGCGAAACGTCTGTAATTAGAATTCGACCACAGCAGAAAAGCCCAGAAGCTCTTCATCATCAATTTAAAAATACGTGTTAAATTTTATGGTATTTCATAATATAATGTAATGGATACTTCAACTTAATATTCTTTATTTTATAATAGAGCAATTAGTACTAATTGCAACATAGAACATTGCTAATTGTCATTACATTGCATCTTTAGAACATGTATGTTATTCAAAGACAGAGTAATAATGTTTGCTAACTTTTGATTGTATTCTAGGCATGTTTCCTAATAGCACAGTTTTACTAAAATTTAACTGCATTGTGCACTGTTGATTTCAATTAAAAGTGGGGCCACTTGTATTAAATATATGGGGTCGTGAACCCTTTAATGCGTTTCTTGTTTGGTACGTTCCAAATGTAAAACTGGGTCGCCATTGAGATCGATGTGATTGATTTTGTTTTGAAGTATTTTAATTATTTGATTCGCGTTTGGCTTACGAAAAAATAGCTCTCATTCTATTAAGTTTTCTGGGTGACTTCCAAATATTTATAGACGCTAAATAGAATTTATCTACATGTATTCGATCCATTTTTATAAATTTCATAACCGAATAAAAAATATTGCTCAACATTATTAGAAAAATAATTATGTTTTCGTTTTGAACTATTAAATTTAATCACCGATATTTTAACAAACTAGTAGTCATTTTGCGACCATCTGAGTATGTAATGTTATTTTCTAATCAAAAGAATTTACTGTTGTCTATTTAAGAAAAGAATATTCGTTTTTCTATATATTTCCCAATTTGGATACCGAAATGCATATAAGTAATTAATTAAATAGTACAACATAATACAAATTTGATTTGCCGCAGGGCAATCTATTAATGGTACAGAAAATGGATATGGAGCAGACATCGGTGGAAGCGATGAAAATAAACCACTGCTTAAATTGGTTATGAACCCAAGAGGAAAAGTTCATGACATAAATTCATTAAGAAAACAAGGATACAATATCGAACCAGCGTTGTTATCACCTGAAATTTGTCAAGAAATTGTAAGAGATCTTAACGCGCCTAAAGGGAAAGGTAAACTTTTGTTGTTTCCTTAAAATTGTCATGGTAGATCACAATACCGATGAACACTCCCAATTAGTAGAACAATAATATAAAAAATTAAACGTGTAATTATACAACACGCTACTGAAGTGAAACTTTTTCAAACACACAAACATACCGGGATAGGGGTTAAGGAATTGGTTTAATGGTATTATTTGAACACTATGAATTTAAATTTTACACTATACATGCCGGAGTTGCCTGTAACGAACGTTGCATTGAAGCGCCCTCACGACTCAAGCGATCTCCACTACGAACTCGACTACGTGACCGAGTAGAGGGGGGACATCCGTTGCATGATTTCGTTACATAGCAACTCGCATGAAACGAACTTACCCTACCGTGCGTAAAGAAGTTTCACTTCAAAAATACTATAATTATTCTTACCTTGACACATTTGGGCTAATGCTGAGACCTGCAAAAGAAAATAAATGTTTGAGTGTCTTTATTATTTAATTGAATGATAAATAAGCATTAAAAATAATTTTTAATTTGAATTATGATTCCTCAAGAAAATTAAAAAAGGAAATAATTATTTTTATCGTAATTATAACTAAAAAGGCACTTTGTAAACCCCAAAATAAATAACTTAACAAATAACTCTGAAAAAGCTCCAAACATTAGAGGCAAAACGTTGGACTATATTGTAAATTAATAAATTGTTTCATTAACTGCAACCCTAGACAAAAATTTTCAGTCTCTCAGAGGCTTTCAGAGTCTTTCAGCGTCTCTGATAACGTCTCTCACAGTCTCTCAGTTATTGCTTAGGTGTTTTTATGGCTCTCTCACAGTCTCTGTATGAGAGACTCGAACGATAAAATTGTTAATTCAGAGATTCGAGTCTCTCACAGAGAGTCTGGATACGAAATGAGGATCTCTTTATGAGCTACTCGAGTCTCTCGTTCAGAGACGCTAAACAGTTTTTTTGACAGTCTCTCGACAGTCTCTCTCAGAGACACCAGAGAGACTCGATGAGAGACGGAGACTCGAGTCTCGCTTTCAGAGACTCTGAGAGACTGAACATTTTTATCTCGG